TGCCGATCCATTCTAGCCTATTGCACTCTATCTGTCCTATCCAAAAGAAAGCATTGGGCTAAATCTACTAGATGGGGCTTTTTCTTTCTTTTCTTTTTTTTTTGTTCCATGGATTAAATCCAGGAGCACCTAATTACTAAGCCACTTCCCCAGTCTATTTTATTTTTTATTTTGAGTCAGGGTCTCACTAAGTTGTTTAGGGCCTCCCTAAGTTGCTGAGACAGGCTTTGAACTTTCAATCTTCTTGCCTCAGCCGCCTGAGTCTCTGGGATTACAGGTGTGTCTCACTGAGCCTGGCTAGACGGTTTGAAGAGGGCTGCTGTAGAGATCACCTCGTGGGAACACTGACACCAAGGAGACAGTTAAATAAACTTTAGGTGCGTAGCAGGAGAGCTGTCTCAGAATGGGGCACAGCTGCTGTGAGAGGAAGATTAAAAACAGCCAGGGGCTCAGATCAGAGAAGGCCAGGCACCTGACCCATGTCCTCTGATCGGGCCTGAATCCCATCCTCCTGCCCAACCCCAGACAGAACACAGGGCTGAGCAGTGGCAGGTAACCAGGACCTTCAGGAGGTGCTTTGCTCCTGCCACCTGCCCATGGACCCCTCACCTTAGGCTACATCCTCTGGCCTCTGGTCAGGCTGTCCCTTAGCAGGGAGGGTCTCCCACTTGTCCCCTGGGAAGACTTGCCTGTACCCTGTTGACCATGCATCTTCTTGCTGACCCTTTGTCCCCTGTTCTTAGGCCTGCAGCACTTTCCTGCAGTTGGCTGTTTACCAGTTACCTGAACAGTTACCTGGACTGGGCTCTGCCTTCCTCCGGGCCAGGGCTGTGCCTTCTATCACTGTAAGCCCCAGTGCCCTGTGCTCTTCCTGGCTTGTGTATGTTCCCTGCAGTAAACAGATGAGTGTGTGAGGGACCAATGAGTGTGAAGGGCCTCTAATTGGAGGTCAGGGACCCTGACTGTGGCCCCATAGGGGGGCACAAGCACCCTTCTCTTCTGGTGACTTTCCCCTGGACATCCTCTGAGGGATGATCAGTCCATCTGGTGCTGATGTGTCGGTGGGGACTCAAAACCAGAAAACTATCACTAATGGACCCAAAAGGTGGTATTTGATGGTTGTTTTTAAGAGTAAAAGAGTAACTTGTATCCTATATAGCCTCTTAAAAAGGTTTCCACTCTATGTTTTGTGGATACCATATAATTATTCCAAAAGTTTTATCCAGACCCTTCTTTAAAGGCACCAAGACCCTTGATGGGGAGACCACCAATGATGCCTACCTGCTGCAACTTCTGAAGACCATGACGCCCACATCCAGGTCTCCACACTCTGGGATCTTCCCCATGCCCTAGAGTGCCTCCAACCTCTCCAATCTGCGGACTACAAAGGAATCCAGACAGCCCCGAGGAACCCTACACTCAACAGTGACTCCAGGGGTCCGGTCCAGATTGACAGCTTCAGAAATGTCCCTCTGAGGTCACCCAGGACCACCCTGAGCAGACACATCTCCAAGCAGAACAGACTCCTGGTCAACCCAAATGAACCTGGATTTTGGAAGGGTCCCAAGTGCTGTCGAGAACGCTAACCATATCATCAGACAGTTATCAGAACTGTCTCCCTCCTAACCCCATTCTTAACCCACTCTCCACCATGGCACAGTTCCTCAAGGAGGTGTTGCAGGCTTGGTCTTCAGTGGATGGTAGGGCCCCTGGTGACCTGTGTACTTCTGGGGAAGCAAGAAGCTCTCTAGAAAGGAAACGCTGGTGGCCCAGTCACAGTGTAGCCCATCAGGGAGCAATGTGAGCAGGTAGGTAGGCATTTGGTACAACAGCATGGAAAGGCTCCTGCACATGATGGTAGATGTCCAGGTCCCAAAGGAGAGCTCTAGACCTGGACTAAGACTATAGAAAGAATTGCCACCCTGACAGCACTTGCATTGTCTTGAAGGACTCCATAACACATAGGCTCAAGCAGGGCTGAAAGGCCAGTCCCCAGGTGTAAAACAGCAGAATGTTAGCCTCCCAGGACCAACCTCCAAGAAACTCTACCACAGCAAAGAACACCACACAACATACAGCTGGGTCTGGGGTCTCTTGCTCTGCACACCCAGGGATGCCAGAGAATAAGCCCGCCATGCTCCTAGAAGACTACCCAGTTTCCTCTCTTATCCAAGGGCCCCATCAATCATAGGTTTCTCTCATTCACATGCTTAGAAGCACCTGGATGGAATTCCAGCAGGGCTTGGTGTTATGGAATTCCACACTGGCACTGAGGTCTGGTCTCAGTGAACAGCAGAGCTGGGAGCTCACTGTCTTTTCCTAAAGAAAATTTTTCAAGAGAAATAGCCTAGTAATAAGAGAGAGAGAGAGAGAGAGAGAGAGAAACAGTCTAGAGAACACCTCCAAATACATTTTGAAAGTCCTTTCATCATAATTTGGTACCTGCATGTCTAAAATGAACCACCAACAAAGATGTGAAACTGACCAGTATGTGCCCAAAGTCTGTCCAGATGTAGTCATGGGAGGACAGGGGGCTGCTTCAAGTCATGCCTGGCTCAGAATCTGGCTCCTCGCCTGTGCCTGCACCACTGGTTCATTTGCTCCTGATTAATGAATAGAATCTAAACCACCACGGTCACAGCTTTTTGCTACCAATGGCAACTGTGGATGCTTTGTGCCTTGCTGTAAAATAGAAAAAATTCACCAGGAAATACAGACGGGACAAACATTAGCAGGTGATCTTGTTGACCAGTGTTATTTCTGCTTGTCTGAGAGGTGAGAAAGGAAAAGTGCACATCTTTGGGGGAGAACCCTTCACTTCTCTCCTGGGGCTGCTGAGCCTCTGAGCCGGTGCTCAGCTAGCCTCACACAGCCCAGACGACCTCCTACCTGGGGGCACGCCATGGCCCGCTCCCCATGTCGACCTGAGCAGTGGCCTGGGCATTTCTGTTGCCAGAGATGGCTTAGGGACTACCGGAGGAAGAGGGTGCTCCATCACACGCAGGGTTACCCAGGAGCCTCATTTCGAGGGACACTTTGGGTATCTCCTGGACTCAGCTGCTCCCTGCTGAAGTAGGAGGACGGCTGGCAGAAGGTAGGGTGAAAGCAGAATACCTGGCAAGCGCCCCCAGGCATGTTGGCAGTGGTCCTGGTTGGCTTTCACTAGCTGTGCACTCGGGAGGGCAACTGCGGGGAACATGTCACCCTCTGTGTAGATTTCTACAAGCCCGACCCTGTGCCACAGAAACCCACTGGGTAGCAGCCATGTTGAAGCCAGGCCGACCTGCTTCCTGAACTAGAGGGAATCCTGAGGCCAAGAAGCAGAAATGTTTATAGAACTCTTATGACCCTTGACTTTCTAAGACTGGCCCCTGTTCCCTGGTTTTTTTTTTTTTTTTTCTCAGCAGCTCAGAAGGCCAGAAGATCGCCTCTTTGGGAAGCTGCCCAGTGAAAGGGCAGGACTGCACCCGCCACCTCTACCTCCCAGTGACACCCGGCTGCACCTCAGCACAAGGGCTGTGAGGAGGAAGGGAACTGATTTTCAAACAGATATGGGCACAAAACACAGAGCAATCATGTCACTTCTTGTTGGGTGCCTGTTAGTCTCAAGTAGGTAGGAGCTTTACCAGCCGAGAGCGTAGCCTCTGTTGGTCATAACGAGGCCTCTTCCAAACCACTCAGCGTGGGAGTGACCACAGTTCTGGGCCAGATGAGATGGGAGATGCTGAGGCCCTTTGGAGTGTGGGGTGGTCCATCTCCACAGCTCACCCAGGTTCCTGCTGAGGTCTGCCTCCAGGAACATGGGTCAGAGAGTCCATGCTGAGTTCTAATGTCCCTGAGAGAGAGGTGGGTGCTGTCCTCACTTCTCACACACCCTCTGATATCCTGGGTGCATATGCAAACACGCCAACACGCCCTCATTCAAAGACTGATTTTACATGGAAAGGCTTTAAGAGAATGTGGGATAATCAAGAGAGAAGGAACAGTTGTTCACACATCAAGAATACACAGAGTGGTTCCCTGCCGAGAGCTGGACCTGCTGTCCAATACAGCCACAGCAGCAGGTGGGCCCTGAGCACTGCAGAACAGCTCACTGGGTTTCACACAGGCTTTCAAAACTTAATGTGGGAAAAAAAGAGTAAAATATCTCATCAATAGTTTTTTTTTTTTAATGTAGATTATATGTTGGAACAAAAATATTTTGAGAACTCTGATTTTATAGAATATGCTACCAGATGGATTTCACCTTTTAATTTTATTTTAAATTAATTTTACTTTTCAAAAGCACGGCTACTAGACAATTTTTAATTTTATTTGTAACTTGTATTATGTTTCTGCTGAACAGCACGGATTTAGAAATGTGGATTCTAATCCTGGCCAGTCCAGGGTCTAGCTGGCTGGCCACAGGGTCCAATGCATTCAGATTTTATGAACTCAACTCAGCTTTCTTTGTAGCTAAAAAAAAAAAAATAGCTGAAAATTCTGTCCACGTCAAATATCAGGTTGCCATCATCTTGACTTTCTTATTTCTCCTTCTCCTTTAGGCCTGTCCCATATGGTTGAACAGGTTGTGGACTACACAAGAATGAAAGGGTGGGGGGGGGCTGTTCACACTGCATACATGCAGATTTATATACTTATTACTATATTATCCCAGCGCATGAAAATAAGTATCTTGTTCTAAGGAGATGGGTACATTAAACTTATTTTCAACAGAAGAAACTAAGGAACAAATGACAGCGAGTAGGGAGACATCATTTTCTGATTTGTGTGAAACTGTAGATAGTTTGTGTTGGCCCTGCCAGAATGCCAGATTCCACTCCAGCCAGCTGTTCTCCTGGTTTGGACTCCCTCTGTCACATGTCGGGGGTGCATCGATGGGCAAGAACCTGGGCACACACTCAAGCCTCAATTGTCCAAGGTGCCGCTGGCATCCGGCGCAAAGGGTTCCGATAACCAGCTGGACCAGGCCCAGGGCTGGCTCAGGAAGGACCACTTACCTTTTCATTTTTCTTGTCATCTGGCTTGCATCCTGTGTTGGTAGGGCTGGACGTGGACAGGCCACAGATGGGCCCTCCTCCTGCCTCCCCGTTGAGGTTGGCGGCGCTAACGTTGGGAGGTGTGATGGCTGATGCTGCTGACGTGAGCGGGATGGCCGGCCGAGGGCACATCTGCATCGGGGGCTGCTGGCTGTGCTGTGGGGACACCACCGTGCGGGGCCTGAGGCTGGTGGCGGGCAGGCGGGATGGAGAGCTCTGAGTGCGCAGGGGTGACACGGTGGCAGTAGGTCGGTCCTGGGCCTGGGCTGAGGGGTGGGCAGCTGGAGCATGAGGTTGGAGAGACAGTGGATTGAAAGGTCAGTGTGCAGCCTGCTGTGCAATTGCAATCCACCCCCAGGCTGGACCTCCAAGTGCTCTGAGATCCTCCCAGACCTGGCCACCAACACAAATCTCTCCCTCACAGAAGGAGAAACTGAGGCTGAGCAACTCTAAAAATGCATTTCTATTTTCCTAAAGCCTGAATTGATCAGCGGGCTCTGCTATTGCTGAAAACAGTCTTTCCCTTGGGAGAGTCAATATCACTTTTCCAAGGTTCCTGTGCACAAGGGCACATTCCCAGTTTTCTATGAAGTGCTTTGTATCAGTCTGTTTTCCATCACTATAGCAAAACACCTGAGGTTGGGCTTATTTAGCTTTAAGGGTTCAAGGGCATGGAGCCTACCACATCATCTTGGCTCTGGTGAGCACCTCATAACAGATGACATCACAGTGGTGAGTGACATCACAATAATAAGAGTGAGTACAGGAGGGAGAGGTCTCATGGCAAGACAGGAGACTAGATTGAAGGGAGATGCTGGGCTTGCTCTTTCTATAACACTTTCTCAGAACTCACTCAGGAGCCATGAGAATTGCCTGATTGATTTAGGTCAAGGGTGCATACGCTCCCTATGACCTAAAGAAGTCCCATGAGGCCCCACCTCTTAAAGGATCTACCACTTCAACCGAGGATCAAGCTTCCAACATGTGAACCATTGGGGAACAAACCACATTCAAACTGTGACAGATCCATGTCCTCTGAAGAGTTTGAAAAACATTCTGGTTAAAATGATCATAAAACTATTAGACCAGAAATCCTGCACCTACTAGAAGAAAATGTAGGCCCAACACTTCAACATGTCAGCTCGGGAACTGACTTCTTTGAAGTCTTCCTTAAAGACTCCCAAAGCACAAGAAGTGAAATCAAGAATCAATAAATGGGACGGCATCAAACTAAAATGCTTTTCCACAGAAAAGGAAACAATCAAGAACGTGAAGAGACAGCCTACAGAATGGGAGAAAATCTTTGCCACCCACACCTCCAATAAAATGTTAATTTCCAAGATATACAAAGAACTCAAAAAGCTTAACAAAGAAACCCCCAATAACCCCATCAATAAATGGGCAAAGAACTGAATAGCGCTTCTCAGGAGAAGAAATGCAAATGATCAACAAATATATGAAAAATGTTCACCATCTCTAGCAATTAGAGAAATGCAAGCTAAAACTACATTGAGATTTCATCTCACACCAATCAGAAAGGCAACTATCAAGAACACAAGTAATGGATGTAAGGCAGGCAGAGCCCAGAGAAAGATGGGGCTGTCGTAGAGGCTAGACCCAACTGCCATGTTAGGGTGGTGGATGAAGAAGCTTTAGAAGGAGCTTTGGAGAAGGGTAAAGCCAGCATTAATTTGTGGCTGGTGTACATAACTTCAGCCAAACAAAAATTTCTCAGAAATAAAACAGGCAGGTCAGGAATGGATGAGGAGCAGAGGTAGAATAGGAACCACGGAAAACTGCAAAAGAAAGGTAAAAGGAGATGCTCAAAACCCAGACACCAGCAGAATGTGTCCCTGTCACCTAAGGAACCAGAGAAGGGTAGACCTGGCAGACCTGAACAAGAAGTGATGGCAGAGAGCTAGAGAAGAAGGTGCCCAGAAGGATCCATGTTTACCCAACCTGCGGCGGGCCAACCCAAACCTGCTATGGGGTTGTGAGTCTTTGTCATTTACTGAGGTCATGTCAAGGACAAGAGGCCAGAAATGGGATCAGAAAGCCTCAAAACGCTGCCCAGTTTAGTCCTGCCTGTCATTTCCACAACCTAGGACTCCAGATCATGAAGCCAAGTTCAGCCTGACTGGCGGTACACACAAAGACCTGGTTTACAATAAATACGGTGCTGAGCTTCTTGGAATCTGTCAAAATTGACTCACAGCCCTTCTGTCGGAGCCACCGCTTCCTCTGCAGTTAACTTGAACTGGGTGATCTGTGCTGCCCAATTCCTAAGATACTTACTTAAAACTATAACTACTTCATAGATTTTTGGTGCCCTTGTTTCTGCTTAGGATAATTCTCAAAAGATTGAGACAGGCTATTCAGAAAAGTTACCAAAGAAGGACAAAAATCTGAGAAGTTTTGGTTCTTGAGTGGATTGAAATAAGGAAAAACAAATGCTGAAACTGAAAGTCATTATGAAGAGTTTGGCAGCATCACAGTGGAAATGACACAGACTGATCTCACAGCAGGGTCTCTGGATTTGAATTTTGAGCCATGGCTTAAAAGCTCTGGGAACTTGGGCAAGTCACTTCACCTCTCTTTTCTGTCATTTTTTTCATCTGTCATATGGAGATGACTATGCCCCATAAAGATGTTGTAAGGGATTAAGGTGAGAAGCACCTCACAGACTAGAAATAAAGAACTAGTAAGATTAGATGTATGTGAATATATTTGCAAACTGCAAAGAACTGCACAAGTATAAATAACTATAAAGAGTGAAAACCTAATAAAAATTTTAATATACTTCAAAAAAAAAGAATGCAAGTAACAATAAATGTTGGTGAGTATGTGGGGAAAAGGGGTACACACTCACACATTGCTGGTGCAACCACTGTGGAAAGCAGTATGAAGACTTCTCAAAAAACCTGGAATGGAACTTTGAACCAGTTATCCCACTGCTTGATATATATTAAAAGTATTTAAAATCAGCTACTATAAGCAGCCACATCAATGTTTATAGCAGCTGAGCTATGGAACAGACCTAAATCCCTTCAATAGATGAATGAATAAAGAAAATGTGAAATATATACACCATGGAATATTACTCAGCCACATTTGCTGGTAAATGGATGGATCTGAAGACTATAATGAAGGCCAATCGCAAAAAACTGAAGGTCAAATGTTTTCTCTGGTATGTGGATACTAATAGGGATTGGAGGGAATGAGTAGACGTTCACTGGATCAGACTAAGGGGAATGGAGGGAAGGGAGAGGTGATGGGAATAGGAAGGACCGTGGAATGAATCTGACTTAACTTTCCTATGAACATATATGAATAGATCACAGTGAATATCTCACCATCGTGTGCATCCACAAGACTGCGACCCCAATTAGAATAAGATATAGTCTGTGCTTGCATAAATATATCAAAATAGAATGTACTGTTATGTATAACTAAAAACTAATAAAAATTAATACAAAAATCCAATCTTTTCAAAACGACAGCAACAAAAACCCTGGCGCCTGTGGAAGCATCTTGGAGAAGCTTCCCCGTGGATCATTAAACACTGCTGCGCCTAAGCTGGCCACAGTCCACAGCCTGACCAGTAAGTCCTGACCCCAGAACTGGCCAGCCCAGTCCTTGGTTTCCAGGCTGGGCACTGGACTTGCTGAGCAGGAGCCTAGAGTGAGAGAGAGCTTTGCTCCTGACGATCACAAGAGGAAAGCCGGAGATATTCCCTCCCTAGTGCAGACTTAAGGCAAAGCTATCCATGCCGCCATCTGCCTGCATAAGAATTTCTGGATTTATGACTTGGAGTCTGGCAACTGAGAATGCACCTTAAAGATGAGAATAACATTTGCAAAAGTCTTCCATTTGCAAAGTTAAGGGTCCACCTAAACACAGCCACATATTCACATTAATCCTGCTATGATTTGTGCTCCATTTAATTGAAAAGTTGTCTATTAGATACAGATGAGAATATGGGAAGAGAATGACAGTCACCAGGGGAATAGTGAACTGTGACTTGGGCTGTCCCAGCAGAGACATCGCCTTATGCCAAGCCCTCCAGCTTGTACCAGGCAACTCTGATCCAGTGGATTTTGCATTTTTATGCCAGACAAAAATTATATGTCACGCTGTGGTTATTGGTTACCACCAACATTTGTGGCATTCCTGGCTTTAGAAGATGGAAAAATACACACAATACAAATATTCTCAGCCCCCAAATATGCCTTGAATGCTGAATACACTTGTAAATTCTTTAGCCTCCAGCGGATGTGAAGCCACTCCACACCACATAGGACCCTCCATCTGCGAGCCGGGACCTTCTTCAGCGCACCCTGTGGGAAGAGCTCACGAGATCTAACCATGTGATGGTAGATTCTCTGGGGCTAGAGACAGCCCTCCTCTGTTTCTACAGGGTGAAATAGAAAAAGGTTGATTTTGTGGGTTTTTTAAATTTATTATCAGTTATTTGAGGTTTCAGATGGGTGGAAACCCATAGTGTTTGTGCCCTCATGCAACATGACCCTCATCTAAGAGGAAGAGGGGGTCAGACAATTTGGAGAATCTATGAAGCCACTGGGGTCACTTAATCACCCTTGACTTGGAAGGCAGCCTTGAGAGATTGATTTGCTTCTGCCCAGCCGTGCACTCTCCTTCACCCCACCTCGCAGTCCTGGAACACAAATAATGCCCGTCAGGGAAGCACAATTGCCCTGTGGGCTCATGAGATCAGTCTCCAGGGCCGCTCGAGGGTCTCCTGCCCAAGGGCTCTGCATAGTTCTCTACTTTAGACTAGCTTCTGCAAGACTGTCCCCATCCTCTTGCTAAACCTGACCCAAGTATGAGAGTGTTCCAGAAAGTTCTCAGCCTGACTCTAGGTCATCTCTCCAACACCCATCTCCTAATACTCTCCCCTCAGCCTCTCTGGTCTCCTGGCCACTCCTCACTATAGGCTCAACTCAGAGACTTGTACTGCTGTCCCTGTTCCACACACCACTCTTGCCCCCAGAGATCTGCGAGGAGGGGGCCCACTCCAGTGTTTCAGTTCAGCTCAGATCCCCTCTTCTAAAGAGACAATCCCAAACAGCCAACTGCATGGGTATGAACTGCCCCTCTGCAACCTCCATCTCTCTTGTTCTAGTTTTTCTTCTCTTCCAAGATGCTTAGCTCCTCTTAACAATCTATATAATTTACTTATAATATGCTGATTGTGCACTGCCTGTCTCTCCCCACTACGATGTTAGGTCTATGGGGATGGGGACAACAATTGTTTAATTCA